GCCACCCTACAGGAGTTTTTAGTCTTTGTGTTTTCAGATTCACCAACTCAAAAAAAAGTACCTGACGTCGTTGAAAATAAAGTACTGAAAGCAACATTACTATTTCTGACCCGGAGAATATCGCATTCTGAAATTAAATTACATAGTGGGAGATCAGGTAGTTACGGAATTGGTCAAACGATCAGGATGTTTATTTGAGAAATAATTACATCGAAAGATACTAAAAAAATTGCATTCATTTTCAGGTTGATATATACGTAATCTGGGATTTGACACGATAGAGCAATCCTCGACAAGTGATGTAAGTTTTAATCTAAATTGTTTCGCACATTTATTTCCCTCTCGTTCGTATACTTCATGTTTATTTCCCTTTTGTGCACATACCGATAGACTCCGCTGGACCTACTATATATTACATGCAGTACAGGGGCCGGGGGAAATAGGTTAAGCGAAACAGGGAATACTCGCTAGGCGGAATCCATACCTCTGTAATCTCCATGTTAAAGGCAGCTCTCAGAATTCTGCACCACGGTGAGGGGACGTAATGGGCCGTGCGCTTTACGGCGTGCCGAGCCGTTCATCAAGCCTCGGAAACTGTCAGAAAATGGCGGTAACTTACTTAGGACAGGAAGCGCTCCAAATGGCAGACATTCCGCGGGGTGATAGGTTCTTACTCCGCGGCAGAGAGGCAATAGCCCTGAAAATGTTGCCGTTTTACGACTCGGTTCTAAGGAGACCTGAAGTAGATACTGGACGGGAATGTTGAACAGTATATCCGGAGACAGGTGGAGACTCTTGGCACTGATAGTGGCTGGCATTATACGATGTTGCAAGGATGAAGAAACGACTAGAATACAAGAGAGTTTCAACAAGGCTATCAAGCTAGTGTAGGAGGGCCATTATGATTGGGATGAGAGGAAATTCTTCATCAAACACCGAAATAGCATTACAATTGTTACGTCATATATTTTACCAGAGTGCAAATTGTAGACAATGGAAAAATAACCATACTGTGAAATCCAATGTCACAGAAGATGATCCTTTGCCTTTTTTGTGACCAAGTGATTTTGTATTCGGGAATACGCCATCAAAGCCTGTGTGAAAACGACGTAAAACTGTCTGGTCAGCTGCCGGGACTCAAAACCATTAAGAGCCATACTAAGTGATTCATTTCACCCGCACACTGAATGCCATTTTATCTCGTCCTGGGAGATTTGTTCGACACGATTTCATATTCTGACTAGCAAGCCAGGACTGCGCAAGATGGTCCCTCCGTCAGCTGTTAGCATGTATGCTTGACAAGAGGCAAGATAAGAAATCGATGTCAAGACAGCGTCCCAGCAAAACGAGTTGAACTTCAACCAGATACTATTCTAAAGTGCGCCGGTCCTTTTCATCATGTTTTTGTTTCCTTTATGATTTATTCAATCTTCACTGCCACAGGCGAAATAATCTGTCATCACGACGTTGTGAGAAAAAATGAGAACTTTAAAGATCAGGGACGACTAAAACGAGAGTGCAAAAGAGGGGAAGATTCGTCTTTTGTCGCCATGGAGTCTGGAAATACAGAAATCCATTCTTCATCGCCACATTCTGGGTACTTATCCGGTGCTTTCCCTCCTTGCCTACTGCTGTTCTGGCGTCCATTAGACGTAGCAGGCATTCGTCAAAACGGCCGGATTGCGTTACGTCGGAACACAAACACTAGTATTCCCAGGAGGACGAAACTTGTACATTGTGCGGCGCGCAGTAGGCTGGCGCTATTATGTTTCACTCCTGGGAAAGCGCCTGATGACAAACCGGCCATTAAAAATCCCATTTCCACTCAGAAACAGAAAGGATTCCACATGAAAATACCCTGATGCACTGCAGAACATCCATCTTGGCACTGCATTAACATACCAGGAATCATGCCGGAGGCTACAATACAGGTACCGTGTGCAGATAGCATGTCGGCAGTATGCACAGGCACGTGTTTCATTTGTATAAGTAGCAACTGATTGCTTCATCCTGATACCTGAACACGATTATCACATGATTCTCTTAATAGAGCAAGACAATTTCGTGCAAACTGTACGCGAACTTTATGTCAAGTACGAGAAAATCAACTTTCTGTAATAAAAAGAAATAGTCGGGAACATCTGTCGGGGCGATTTGAAATCGATGTGATAAGCGAAGAGACATTTCTAACCTGGCCCCAATCTCCGTGAAGAACAGTTGTAATTTCTGCGATCGATATGACCGCAGGTGATCAGCCCTAATGTCTGCCCACCTTTAAGTGTATGTTTGGGTACTTTCTTTGTAGAAACGATAGTCACGGGGCAGGGTCGGTTCCGTAAATCCTCAGGAAAATTACATCTACTAAACACTGTTATTACCAGCCAAGGTGTATGTATCATGGCGAGTGGACTGGATAGACACCCAATGTGAGAGTGGCACCTTGGAGCGAACCTTGCGCGATTTTTCCGAACAACCCAAATGGAATGATGGCCATACAGCTCCATGTGATTGTAAACGTTCTTAACGTTTTGTTTAACATGACCTATGTACGATCATCCCCCTTTATAAAGAGTTGCTCATATTTCTTAGCTGTCCCGCGATGTGCGCCATGCGCCAGCACTTGGGAGCCCCAGTACGACCAAAGGAACTATTTTCCGTTCTTTCCTCTTCTGTGTTTTCTAAATTTCTTTTCAGAATCCTCACTACCCCCCCCCCCTCTTGCGCGCACAGTAATTGTGTTCTCTCAGACATCCCTGCTTCGTGACGACTTTGACGTTATTCAGTTCCAGGGACATGAGACCTTATCCTTACAGCTTAATCTGTTCCCGCGCTTAAATCTGCGCTGGCCCCCATTAAATCGTCATTTCACTCTCACCCTAAGGCAGTATTTAACCTTGGCGTATATCACCGACAATCAAAATGTCAGTCTCATTCTTTTCATCGCTCCCCCGTAAAACGCCATTTTGCTCGGTAAATATACAACCACTAAAAGTTCCTTCTGCAATTTTCCGGGAGGAAGCAAAGCGGGAAATAAGTTTGGCAGAGCCAGAGGGGTGACTGGAGAAGTTTCCACCCCTGCGAGCGAGGGTCGGGTGAATCTCAGACTACAGAACCCGCACATCCAGGAAATCGATATATTCAAACTACACAAACCAACTTCAAGCTTCTGGCTCTCAACATAAAGCGTGCCTTTACTCTAGCCAGCAAAGTGTTGCTGATAACTGCATAGTGAACCTGTTTCATGCTTTGTTTATTTCAAATATCATAGAAAATTCTCTGTGCACCTGGTAACGTTATATGAAGACTTGAAGAGTGTAAGGAAAGATCAAATGAATGCATTTTCGTTTACATCTGTTCTGTGGTTGTCCCAGAGGCTTTAACATTACAAGAAAACAACTGCTCAGTCACACAAAATCACACCGATTATTGCAGTAAATCCGCCCCCTCTGTGTCCGATATTAGATGCATAGAAAGCCATCTTACCTGGCACAGAAACCCGTCGTTATTGCATTGTTGCACATGAGCCATGCACAATACAATTTGCGCGGACCAGGCAGAGCGTGACATGCGACGAGGGCGATACCGCATTTGCATGGTAATGACTCTGAATATTTGTACCAAAACGGTGACGATTTTTTTTTTAAATCTAGTATCCAGCAGCTACATCGTATCCACTCTATTAATTTACTTGGAAAGTAATAATAATCAACAAAGTAAGGACAAGAAGATCCTTTTGTTACCAACAAAAAACATTGTATCCTCCTGTATCAAATAAACGTATATAACACATAATTTATTTATATACTTGTACTACATTTCAACCCAGAAACAAACTGAAGCTATGTTGGGAGATTATATGAACATAAATACAACCCAAGGCCGTCCTATACTACAGTGTTGCTCCTAGACAGCTCTCATTCAGGTCATTGTCATGATTAGAAATTTGTCGTACTTATTGCGGATTCAACTTTGATAAGGATCTATGAAACGCAAATATACTATCGGCCAGCTCATAGAAGCGATGGCAAGATCGGAATACCTCACAATACAGACCCGGTGTGTGGTGGATTTAAATCGCTGCCTCACTGGCTATCCCGTAGTTGAAGCCTAACCAGGCAAACTAAGTGTTTCTCCCAATTTAGACACAGTCTACTTGTTCAGACCAGCTGTCGAAACATTGCAATGATATAAGATAAATAAGAACGGCTTGTTTTGCCTGATTGGGACCTTCTGGAGAGTATTTGCACGTATTGAAGTTATTGTTGTTTTAAAGGGTGCGCGCGGCCGGGACAAAAGCCGTCTCCTCGGGAAGGGCAGGTGAAACGCAGTCGGGTGGAACAAAAGATGTGTAAATAAACAGTGGAGTACAAACGGTAGGGGGACTACTAGTACCATGTAGGGGAACCACCAGACATTTAAACTACTACAACCATAGCTAATTTTGTGTGCCGCACCCGATCAGAAAGAGATCAAAACGGAAAACATAAGTCATTGTGATTCGTACTTTTCTTATAGAATATTCTTACCTCTGAATTGTGATTTATGTATGATATACAAAAAAGACAGAAAATGTGGTGTAATTGCCTACTAGTCATTTACATCACGCGTTAAGCGAACCATTGTGTGGGACTGGTCTGAAATGCACGACGCTACGCTGATATAGAACGTGTAAGGTCAGAGTCACCATGAATTTCACAGTACATCATTGAATCTGATCCCACGGACGAGCTTCCGAGAATCAAATCTCATTCCTTATTAACCAAAAAAGCTAGCCTGCACTCTGGGGGGAAATTGGGAACATTTGTCAGCATATACAAAGCACTCACACAGAGGAAAAATGACTTTTTCACATATAGCTAGTCATTCCGCATTCTGATAAATCTAGAGTAATTTTTACACACCTTCTTAGATCTCTATATATAAAAGACAAAATATACATGTATGAAGAAAATTGGAATGCTTTCAACATCATCTTCAAAACTACTTCTGCAGGTACTCACCGCAGACGTGGCTGGAGAAGAGTGTGTGTATCCGTAAATGTTGAGCGCACCTCTGGAAGAGCGGCGTGCTTGTACCAACTGCACCAGCTTCCTCCGGAAATTCTGCAACCCACCGTGCCAGAATTCTCAGGGGATGACGTCATCTCATTTGCATAAACGTGGCCCTGAAAAAAGGTTGGAATCAGTTCCCAGGACCCGGGATGAGAAGGAGAACCGCAACGTTGAGATTTTAGAAAATTTCAGCATTCATTTTTGCACGAAAAAAGCGAATTATGATTTTCTAAATATAATTGACGTATGTGTGTACGCCAATAGAAAGCGTGCTAGCTTTAAACAGTTTGTATGTCCAATAATGTAGTATTTGGTAAAAAGGTTAGTTCACAGCGTAAATTATAACACTCAGGATTCATTTAAAAAAAGATAATGGAGAGAAACAAATTGTGTGCGACCTTCCCCTTATCAATTTTATTACAGTACACCAAGCCTTCATAGATGCGGTTTGGTCTCAAACGCTAGATGGCGCTCTTACTGCACCGCAGCTTAAAAGAAGAGCATTTGTCGGCACAAATTATACCAGTACTTATCCGCGAAGTTGCTACGTAAAGAAAATGGGAGCGGGGCCTGAGTGTCTGTCACCGAAAACTTACGAGAAGAACATATTAATTAATATCGATGTTCGCCCATCGAAACCTCATCCATTTTAGCCGTCACCAAACGGAGTGCCTAACTGACGTCTAATCACATAACGGAAATAAGAAAACAATGAATAATGTTCTTGGCCTTTTCTTTACTAAGGAGTTGGCAGTACATCTTGTACTGTGCGTGCTAATTGGAATACATTATATTGGCCCAATCTAACGTTACTGATTATATTAAAAAATCAGTATGGCTGATGTCATGTTACTATTGTTAGATATACATAGCCAACATGGGCTCATGGTTTGCAAATACTGCCCTGCAAAGAATTAAGTTGAGAATCACAACTGGATGTTTTCTGTATATATTTTGCCATAAGGAAGCTGCAAATGAGTAGCCTCGGTTTCCAGACTTCGGGGGTACAGCTGGTAAAGCGCCTCCAAATGTGCACCTGTCTGCCGCTAGCTAGATGAATACCCTAGCCAACGCCTGTCCTCTGCGATAGAGCTGACAAGCTTGTCGGAACATGACCTGTTGGGAGGATTCTACTGCACATCATACATAGCTAAACATCGCGCGTGCCTCATAAATACTCATCATTTGCTTTCTTCCTGCTCAGATTTCTTCGATTGAATTTTGCCACTTTGTTTTCGTAAGATGTGAAATTTTTGGATTAGCAAATGAACGCTGTCCACATCAAGACTTCAGTAACAATATCGCCAATATTTTTCTGACGTTTGACCTTTAAAAGCGTCTAGTTGAGTCGGTTAGCCTTTCAGCGCCTTGTAAATATTAATAACGCCATGAAATCTGATGGACCGAATCTGAGTTTATCGCCAGGATATATGCCAGGGGACACGGGTTGACTTTGATGGGAGGAAAGTGAATTTTTGGCGATCAGAACAGACGGCTCTAATCCGGGCCGATATTTTCACAGGAAAGCGAGATGAAACAGTTACTACACATGACATTATTATGAGAAACCATAACAGGTGTGAGAACGGATGTGACGTCGGAATATTTACCTGTACTTTAGACCTGTGGTCTAAGGCTCAGCTTGATGGGCGTGTGTGCAATGACACCAATTGTTCTTGTCCTCTCATTCGTTTTGAAACCTTTCGATAATGACACGAAAAACAACAACGGAAAATGTTTGAAACATCAGTGATACCACCATCTTCAATCAGATCGAAAATTTTCTAGTGGGCAAGACATTTAATTTTGTCATATCTACAACCTTCCTGTCTGCTTGTTAATACCGGACCGTAAAATTACTGTATACCTGGCAGCAGTTGTTTCGCCCCGGATGGTGCCTGTCACCCCACATAGATGACTATTGGCCCTCTAGTTGTAATTGGTTCAAGCAATTGCAAAATAGACTAACGACCGCCACCAACTATGGCTTTAAATGCTTGACCTTAGAGTAACAACGCCCCCTTTCGCATACGAATGAAAGTGCAATTATTGCTCACAGCGTTGTAGAGACGAACGTCCGTATCCAAGCACGTATGAAGTATACAGTAGAGGGCTTTGTTTGTGTTCCCTCTTAACTATGCAGACCAGGTGTGTGCCTGATGCCGTCCCGTTCGTTTCGACGTTTCTCTCCTATCGTTTGACGAGTATAACTCAATAACTCTCTCTGGCATATGAGATTGCAGAATACCTCCAAATTATTGCCCTGGAAGCCGTGCATGCTATAACCTCGCATGACCGCCTGCCCTGGGGGAAGTTATTTATATATGATAGTCACCAGGACCGTAGTCCTTTGTTTCGGGAATCACTGGTACGTAAACAATTGAGGGTCATAGGTTACATTGTATGCATGAGTTGTCCCTCACTATCCTTTCACACAGAGTTGGTCAGCTCTCAGGGACGTGGACACAACACCTTAATCTGAGGAAACCGCCAGAATTACTGAGTTGGTGAGGCACCCGACCTGACTCCACAATGAACACTAAGTTTGTGGTAAGTCCGTGTGTATTATGACTACTGAGTCACCCATTGATTACATGTTTTCATTCTGTCTGTACAGTTTGGAGATAACCCTACTCCACAGTCTTACTTCCGCCTTCCTCTAGTGCATGGCTATTAGGTTTGTGTTTGGAGTTATTTTTGGCGTGTCTTTAGGCTTTTTTATCGGGGTTTCTTTTTTGCACTGGAGAGTATATTAGGGCTAGGAAACATGATGTGTTTTCGATTTCAGCTTCAGCAACTTGAAACGCTTCTGGGTGAGAACGTTTCCCTTTCCGTGGTTTTAGCAAGATGTTACTACTCTCCAGCTGGGTACGTTTGCTACAGTTGTTGGTCTAGCCTGTACGAAAGACCAAAGGTACAACTTCAACAAGGCTTCATCGGGTCAGTTTTCACCGTTCAAAACCCATTTTCACCCTTCAAAACCCAATTTTCACCCTTCAAAACTCAAATGTTCACCCTTCAAAACCCAATTTTCACCCTTCAAAACTTAATTTTTCATCGTTCAAAATTTAATTTTTCACCCTTCAAAACTCAATTTTTCACCCTTCAAAACCCAATTTTCATCGTTCAAAACTTTTTTTTCACCCTTCAAAGCTCAAATTTTTACCCTTCAAAGCTCAAATTTTCACCCTTCAAAACCCAATTTTCATCGTTCAAAACTTTTTTTCACCCTTCAAAACTCAAATTTTCACCCTTCAAAACTCAAATTTTCATCGTTCAAAACTTGTTTTCACCCTTCAAAACTCAAATTTTCATCGTTCATCGACTCGTCCCCAGGATACTATGGTTGGCTCTTCCCAGTATGCTTTGCGCGGAGCGCGGTCTCTTTCCCAGGGCAGTCAAATACAAACACGAATACGCTGTTATTCGCTGCAGTCCCGCCGTGCCCAGAACGTAATTTTATATTATACCGGACGCTGTGGAAGGAAAACATTTCCAACATGGTTCCAACCGCACCAAGGCACGATTTTCAACCGGCTGTTTTTGTAAGTTAGAATGGGGAGGGGGGCCGGGGGCGTTTCTAAGTACTTAGACTACGTTTCTAAGTACTTAGACTACGTTTCTAAGTACTTAGACTAAGTTAGAGTAGTTTTTTCGTGTTTATAAATTATGTTATGGACAGAGTCCGACAGACTGTTGTTGGTTTGTTGTAACCCCAAAACGTACTGCTCCATTGGTTTTGGAAGTACTTGTATTTGTTTTGAGTGGCGGACAGACGTATATTTTCCGACATAAATTCCCAACTATTTTCCACTGACACAGTTTCTCCAAATTGTTACATAACTGTTTGGCCCTGGGGAACTTTCGGTGGAGAGGCAGCCCCATTCACAGTTTGACCACAACAATTCAGACGAAAAAACCTAACCGTTACTAAACTTAGAGTAAAAGTAGAAACACTCCCCTCCACATTCTAATTATGCGCAAGGCAAAACATGTCATATCATATCCATAACAATGCAACAGACAGCATATAGGATGATACATTTGGGGAAGGTAGGATACCGGTAGTTCACAACAATTTGAGAAGTGAGAAAGAGCAGGGTGGAAATGAATAAGAAAAGCCAAGGAAAGGTGAGACAATCTGTGCACATTAATGAATGAATTACAATGAGCTCTATGCATAAGCAACAAAATGTGGGCTACGAAAAGTGTAAAAAGTTTGGGTCAGCAGAAGCTGCAACTTTAGAATGCAATGGGTAAGATTAGCTAGTGATCGCGCCAAACAGTTATGTAACAATTTGGAGAAACTGTGTCAGTGGAAAATAGTTGGGAATTTATGTCGGAAAATATACGTCTGTCCGCCACTCAAAACAAATACAAGTAGTTCCAAAACCAATGGAGCAGTAAGTTTTGGGGTTACAACAAACCAACAACAGTCCGTCGGACTCTGTCCACAACATAATTTATAAACACGAAAAAACTACTCTAACTTAGTCTAAGTACTTAGAAACGTAGTCTAAGTACTTAGAAACGCCCCCGGCCCCCCTCCCCATTCTAACTTACAAAAACAGCCGGTTGAAAATCGTGCCTTGGTGCGGTTGGAACCGTGTTGGAAATGTTTTCCTTCCACAGCGTCCGGTATAATATAAAATTACGTTCTGGGCACGGCGGGACTGCAGCGAATAACAGCGTATTCGTGTTTGTATTTGACTGCCCTGGGAAAGAGACCGCGCTCCGCGCAAAGCATACTGGGAAGAGCCAACCATAGTATCCTGGGGACGAGTCGATGAACGATGAAAATTTGAGTTTTGAAGGGTGAAAAAAAGTTTTGAACGATGAAAATTTGAGTTTTGAAGGGTGAAAATTTGAGTTTTGAAGGGTGAAAAAAAGTTTTGAACGATGAAAATTGGGTTTTGAAGGGTGAAAATTTGAGTTTTGAAGGGTGAAAAATTGAGTTTTGAAGGGTGAAAAAAAAAATTTTGAACGATGAAAAATTAAGTTTTGAAGGGTGAAAATTGGGTTTTGAACGGTGAAAAGTAAGTTTTGAAGGGTGAAAAATTAAGTTTTGAACGATGAAAATTTGAGTTTTGAAGGGTGAAAATTGGGTTTTGAACGGTGAAAATGGGTTTTGAACGGTGAAAACTGACCCGACGAAGCCTTGTTGAAGTTGTACCTTTGGTCTTTCGTAAGCCTGGATACATCAACACACACCACACTCGGGACAGCCGGGAGATGGGTCAAATACTTGTCAGTGGTGTATGGAATTATGACAATCTAAATTGGTCTCGCACATGTTTGTATTTCAGATATACGATACAGTTAAGTTCACAGGCAGGGATGAGAGTTTGAACTGTAACCCTCCCCGGGTCATGTGTGCCTGACAGACAGTGGATACATACATAAGGGCGTCTTTGATTTGCCATAATAAGTCATCGGCGAGTGACCTATATAGCAGTACGTGTCAACTAATTATACAGCATGACATTTTATTACACATCATTCTACAGTCAAACCTGGTCTCAGCAAGCCATCAAGCAGGAAAAAAAGTGGTGCCTTAGGAGCAATGATTTGCAAACAAAATTGATTGACAGCGCCACATAGCCCTGTGAGCATCTTTCGCAGATATGGCTTAGATATAATTATTATATACAGTATCAGTGTATCGGAAACATATCTAAACCATATTCAAAAGAGACGTCCACAGTTTATAAACAGGACAATGCATGATTTGGGTTGTTGAGTGGTCACTGTACGTATGTGGTGAAGGGAATATATGACCCCCCCCCCCGCGACTGACAAAAAATGGTTGCTGACTGGATAGCAGATGGTTGGATAAGCCAGGTTTGACTGTGCCTGTAAGTACGTACGTAAACATGTGTCTTCCTCTTCACAAACTCCACCTGCCACTGCGTGTGTTGTACCAGCTGCTGACGTTACTCAAACTGCTGCCCTTCTTCATCACGTTTATCCTGTACTTCGCGCTGCTCTTACCTGACAACCCGCCTTCAGCCGAGGCCACGGTCGTCAAGATGTTACCTGCCATGAGTCTGGTGCTTTTCCTCGGCCTACATGGGAAAGGTATGTCGCCGATTTTTACCTCCGGGAAAAGGGTACATCCGCGGGAAGGTACTGTTTTGGGCCGTATTTGTGTGTTCGCAGCTGTAAGTCACGGTAGGTTTGACGGATTTCTTTGCTTTTCAGTGCATGATTAGTTATTGAGGTCCAGATACTAGTAATGTGGTTCGTTATTTTCCTTGTATCTGTATTTCTTGTTATTTATATGAAATAATTTGACACCTCCGTTCTGTATGTGGACTGGTATCGTCTACATCAACAGCTGTTGTCCACCAGGCTATACCATAGTACTGATATATCCTGAAGAGGTATGATATGAGTCGCATTCCCTCCTGCAGTGTTCTGTGGAGGGCGGCTGTACGACCGGCTTCTGTTCGCGGCCACGTTCCTGTGTGGAGTGGCGGACGGAGTCATCGCCTGGGACCACCACCACGATGCCTTCTTCCTGGCAGGTCAGATGATCGATATCTCGAGAAAGATATGTCACGCAAATGTCATGGTGGCGCTCAGTTAAATAAATCATGTACAATATCATGTGTTCGCTATTGTTGTAGAAAGCCAGTAAACCGTTCAATCTGTTACAGGAATGGCGGTGTTCGGAGCCGCACATTGTGTGTTCATGGCTGCGTTCCGCTGCACGCCTCTCCGCCTCATCCTGTGGCTCCCATGGCTCACGGTTGCCCTCATCCTGTACGGCGTCCTCACACCCGGCCTGTACGGGGCCATGTTCTTCTTCGTCTTAGTCTACGCTCTGGTGATCGGCGGCATGGGGTGGAGATCGTTCTCCAGGTATCATGAAACTTCATCTGTGTTGGTAGTTATTATGTTGACCGGGACGGGGGCCGACATCGTTTATCAGGTACGTTTGATGCCGTGTTGACGGCGCACTTCAGATATGCCACGTGACAAGTCTCACTGGGTCAGTCTACTGAGGAAGACCAGAGTGACTGGTTTAAAACTTTAGGTGAGAAAGTTCCCTTGCGTGTTGAATCAAAAGTTTTGATTTTCAACATCGTTCTGCAGGGTTGAGATCCGGTGTTGTGTCGGGAGCTGTACGGGTGAGAGATGCGCGAAGTGGTGTGTCCTCAGCAGAGACGATATAGCTGACATCCCTGAGGGACAGTGTTGGGAGGCGTCAGGTGTGACGTGGACCCAGGTCCTGGCGGCAGCAGGTAAAGACTTATATGAGAGTTACCTCGTTTCCGTCAATGATACATGAAAGGTTTTAAACATGCAATGTCTCTTTTGTTGTTGCTGGATTGATAATCCATCTAGAAACTTATATATATTTAGTTTTATTCTGAAAGGAAAAATATAAAGATGTGCAATGCCCTTATCCCATCCCGTGCTACAGGTGCTGTGTTGTTCGCCATCTCCGACTCCATCTTGTCCGTTTTTGCCTTCCGAGTCCCCGGGGACCCGTACCCCACCGCCAGGAGAGTCGCGGTGCTGTCCACGTACTGGGTCGCCATCTTGTTTCTGGCGTTGTCGGTAGAACCAGCAGGACCCTGCCCGTGTCAAGGTCAGGCGGACACGGTGACGTCAGCAGAGGACGAGGACGTCTCGAGAGAACATATCCGTCTGTCTGAAATGGCCTGAGACCTTTTTCATGACGACACATTTATTGTTAGAAGTTTGTTATGTTCTTGCAAGGTTTATAAAAAAACAAGATACATGTTTACCAAGCTCAACGTTACAAAGCTGAAGCCCATGGTCTCAAGGTTAAAACTTTCTGATGGCCTAAAGGGTAAAATACATTGCGCTTACATGGCTTAAGGCCGTATACGAGGTGGCCAGGGTGTTAATTTATACCGTCAGGGTCAGGGTCTGTGGTCAGGGCCGGTGATAAGAAGGAGGGATACTATTGACAAACAATCCAAATTTAATAGTGGGATGTACTTTTGCTGGCAGGTAGTAATAAGAACTTTTATTTCGACGTCAAGTCAGATACTGATAAAGGGTAGTTACTGAACATCGACCCAACTGGACATTCACGACAGACATAGCATAATGAAAGCAGCATATGTACGGTCTATGATTTTTCTACAGGCATGTGGTATAGATTTTACAGAGTATATTTAATTACGTTATCGCCTTGTGCAATATATGTTGAGGCCGCACGAGGGCTACGACCGAGTGAATATACTCATGACGCAAAGAATCTCGGGAACGTTAGTCACTTAGACGTATAATTAGACGCCGCCAGATTTGAGCTGACGAGATCACAGATTTGTCACGACCTGTGAAAGGGAACACAAAGTTGGAGGTACGTTTGCAAAATGATGTTTGTTTATGTTTTTGTTAGAACTCAGAATGGTGTGAAATGGATAATGAAAAAGTTTTATTGTCCAACTGGCGCGATGACCCCCTCCCCTCGAACAAAACTTTACTAGACTCAAGGAGGTTAATCTTCTTGCTAGACTTAACATTCTATAACTTTGCTGTGAATTTTGTGGATAAACTTCACATCCTCATGGTGACATGGAGTAGCCGAGCTTGTTCACAGTATACCTTCATGTCATGTTGACGTTGTTGTAATCACAAAAATTTCTGGAAACATAATATGATACGAGCGATCGCTGTTTTTGTTTACACCATATAAATGCAAATTACCTGAAGACATATGCACGTTATTGGCTGGCAAATCAGCCATCCTAACACTAGCTGTCATGACGTCACTGCAATCGCGCGGAGGATTCTTGTTGACAGTTGTGAATCGCCGCCTGGCGACGAGTGATGATATTTCATCTAGAGAAGCTTGAGTCGATTCAAGCACATGATTTTTATTCGCACATGTGCACACGTCATACGATGTTGAAATATTATAATACCACGTTGTCTACCGCTGATTCCTCTTTTATGTAACGACGGTGTACCTCAATATATGCCTTTAACCTCAATACGATAACATATAAGTGCAGCCGCTGTTGGTAAGCACCATGTATACGCTGTGTACAAAAGAGATACTCGGTCGTGGTTAGGCCCATGTACCCTGTGCTGTGTAAGTTGTAACATGGAAGATGGTATTTCATCGTACCGACTTTTTCTCAGGCCTCTTTTTGTAGATTCCGTTTTCTGTCATTAAGAATATAGCCTATAGGCGACACAGGACTGACCTATGGTAAATCCCTTCGTCATTTCCTCACCCAGAATATGGATGACTGCAATTCACCTGCAGATCACTAGATGACGCTGTAAGACTGTTCTATGGCACTATGAAGCAATGCTCATTCAAAATCCTTTTTTGACGTACATATGTATGTTTGACTTTACTCTTTTACAGATGTATACATCTGCTTTACGCAAAAGTGCTCAAACGTGGAGTGTTGTTTGCTTTGTGTGCGTGTAGAATACAACAGCATTGTCTCAAGCCAATGTCAGCAACAACACAAACGATAAAATCAATGATGGTTGTAATGGGTGTACACTACTGGAAAGATAATATCAATGTCAACACGTTGGGCATTATCCACCCAGTGCAGGACTATGGACAGCCAGTTTACTAGGACGACAAGTAGAGCTATTCTTTAAATGCGCATCCGGATATTCAACCAAGGAGGTTGTATAATTTGCCTCATTGATTCACCACAATACAATGTTCCTTCAACATTTCTCACAGTGAGAGCTAAAACACATACACAACAGTTTGGTGCCATTTATTTTAATAGACTACTAATTTCCTATGAAATCTGCCAAGTCTAACACTGCCCCTCCCTTATCCGACATGTCCAATTAATTCAGCTTCCTCTTGTGTTATGTTATGTTATGTTATGTTATGTTATGTTATGTTATGTTATGTTATGTTATGTTATGTTATGTTATGTTATGTTATGTTATGTTATGTTATGTTATGTTATGTTATGTTATGTTATGTTATATTATGTTATGTTATGTTATTCTTGCTATAATACGCATGTTTGATAAACCACCATAGTAAGCACCCACTTCTCTTGAACCTACCGTCTACAATCCGTCTCCAGAACCACTCACATCTCCGCTGCTGCCGGTGGGTTAACGGAGCTTAAGGAAATAATAAGACTCTGGGAGTTGATATGATCTTTTTATGAGACAAATGGGGCGAATTACTCATCCGTAATGTCGGCATCGGCGCTCGGGAAAGGTTCATTTTTCACTCTTGTCGACGTAATTAAGCCGTTAATGTCCTGGCTTTTTGCTGATCGCGATATGATGCGAATCTTGATCCCAGAGGCGAGGTATCCGGCGTGAAGTTTATTAGGGAGTCTTGTAACGAGTGATGTATAACATGCGATTACTCATCTGGTATTGGGGAGAGGTCTTATCTTTAATACTGTATACTACAGGTTTCACAGAGTAATATGTATAGGACTTCCTTTTTTGTTTATATTGTTTGGTTCAAGTGTCTGCGCATCTTAGACCGCAATACTATGGAAAGAAATGACATTGCGGGGCTGATAAGGGCTTACCATTTGTGATGTTACTGTGTGGAGATAAGTACTGGTGGGTCCGTATAAAAGAGTGTTTGTTGCTTTTGAAGATGCTCTGCCTGCATAATAATACTATAGCTAGTAACTTGAATGGATCGGAAGAAAGCTAGATAATGAATAGTACATCTGCATTATATATGTCGCGCCATTGTTTGTCAGTATGGTGAGGTTGTCTGTGTCTCTCTAGGTCTTCCATAGTGTTCTGAAAACAAACAAAACAGTCTTTCTAAAACAACAGGGTCAAATTCTGTCATTCTCCACAGGTTGGGCGATCTTCACATGTTCTTTGTAGTTCTCACATTTAGTAGAGTCGAGCTCCCACCTCTGAGTTCACGTCTACGTGAGGCCGATTGCGGACCTTCGCGTCCTCGCCAGCCAGATGCCGATAAAATATCTGTATTCCATCTTCCCCGTCCGTCATGAAAAAATAATAATAATTCAGTGGCCTGGCCCGCCACAGATTTCCTCCGAAGGTTCCAAAAGTCATCTTGGCAAAGCTTTCCTGTGCAAGAAGTGGCAACAATGTTTTATGAATCTAATAATGCCGGATGTTCTGGCCCACATGCAATAGTTTTTATTCCCCCAAATACAACTAAAGATGCTGTGGTGAAATATGTTATTACCGCGACAAACCATAATAACGTCTTTGGAATTCTTGAAGGCGTTTCTTGTAGGATTAACAGTCCATGGACTACTTGACGGCGAAGTATTGGGGGCCATGGTTATGAGCAACAAAAAACATCTAATAAAAACTACAGCCATCAAAAACTCTGAAGACGTTTATAAGTTGTAATTGAGTCGTCAATCATACACACTGCACTATAGGATAAGGACTGGGGATAAACTTGAAAGGCCATACTCCCACGATGTGTGACTTCTCTGCTTATCTTGCCAGTATCGCTAGAGGACATTGTGAAACGATGGTCGAAAAGTAACTTTTAATACGAACTGTGTCGGTATGGTGGTGTGTTGTATGTGGATTCATGATTTGTATCAGAACTGCTACATATACATTTATTTGTCATTTTCGGGTCAATTAAACTTTCTCGCCCTTTATGTAACGTTATAATTACTCTGTTAGGGTACAAATTATCACAAAACGTTACCTCTGGGGTATACAGGATAAGATGTCCAAACTATTGATCAGTTCAACCTTTCTCCATAAATCCGGGTAACCTGAATAATGTTTCACACTCTCCATCCCCCTTGGCAGTTCACTCTGCCCCCCTCCCCACCGCATCATCTGCCCACAGCGAAAGTGCACGGCAGGTGTCAAAGGTCTCCCCCGTGGATGATCGATTTCTCGCGATATCACATCGCGATGACAACAACAATGGGGCAAATTTATCACGGGGCCACATTCAATCGACAACCTGGTCGGAAAAACCGCCGAGTAAGAGTTATTCTGGCCCGCGTTCATCATCGTCAATTGATCTGCGGTGCCCCGGTACGTCAGACGGACTGACAAATCACCTGCAGGTCCGCTGAATTTGAATTTTTCCACCCTGACCCTGAGCAAGGCGATGTTTATGGGTTTCCGAAAGCCAACAGAGGTTCCATCCTTGAACCTCGGGGGTGAGGGATAATCTTGTATCTATCTGCTTTAGCCAAATTATGGTGTTTCCTTCGTGCTCCCGGACAATCTATCACACATTTCTATCAAAAAAGTTCGGAAATGGGAAGTGGGACGCCACATGGGACCAACAATCACCGACATTGTGGTTGTGTTCTTGCCCTCGGATATCTGACCTCCTCCATATTATCCTAACGGTAAAAGGAAGGTCGGTGTCTGGCAATATGTAACCATTTTTACACAGCGTTTATGTGAATCATGCTTGATCATTTCCCCTCTTCCTGAACAAAGAAAATGGAGAACTAAGATTTCCCGTTTATTACTTGTACTTAATTTACTTAGTACTTATTATAACACTGGCAGGAACTATCTGATAATCCATCTTCCTCTACATTATCGACTACAAACCGTACCATTTTGGACATAACTCTCAAAATATGTGTTACGTCAAAGTTGGAGCCCTGATCATTGATTTCACAATTGGAATATGAATTGATGCACAATGCAAAAGTATAATCTAAAAGACAACAAAATACACGGAACGTTCTATGCTTTCAAAATTCCTTGAGCAATCTGTAAAAAAAGTTGGTCCTCATCGGTCGATCAGCCTCGAGTGGATATGGGTGTTACCGTTAGGCTGTGAGTTGCAATAGCCTGGGTACCATCCGGATTTTCGCTACGCAACGCTCGAAAAAATCACTTTTCGAGCGTTGCGTAACGAAAATCCGGATGGTACCCAGGCTAAGTTGCAATCCATCAGGACAATATTCTGAGT